ACGTGGCTGAAGTTGCGTCCCTTACTTCGATTTGGGGGTTTAGTGTAGACCAAGCCTTAGTCCCCTAGTACAACCAGTAGACTGTATCATTACTCTTAATTGCATTCACCTGTGAACAAAAAGAAGCATGGTCCCTTTAAAAGGTCCAGAGCTATAGCAGATCTTCTGTTTTACTCAATTAAACTAGAGCTGGTTGAAAATTTGAGTTTTTGAAACTGATAATTTTTTTTTTTTGGAAAAAAAAGTCGAAGTTTTTTCTGCATTTTTCAACCAGTTCCATCACAAATATTGTTGTTTGACATCAGATCAATCTAGGTGCCAAGTATTCACCATGAATCACTGACGTAAACAAAAAGTTTTTTGACAATTTAAAAGGTCTTAGTTCTCACTGTTCCTTTCAGTAGGACTTCAAAGTAATATACATTGATATAAATGTATTATGTTGATCATTATCTCCCTCTTAGAGCTTTATTCATGAGAGTTTTATCACTTGAATCTATAAAGAATATTAATAGCTTTATTTTCATGACCAACGTTACTGGAACCACCAGGACAAAAATAACTCACCCATTCATCCCAGCCACCACACCCCCTACTAAGGCTGTTGAGAAACCCCACCAAGCAGCAATAAAACATAGCACTTACAGTAGAGATGGCATTTACCATGCCATTGGTGATCTGATCTTGACGCATATGCTTCACTACATCAAACTGGGCTGCTCTCTGCTTTGGAATTACTTGATCAGCAATCTTTTTCATTTCAGAGTTAAATTTTTTGAACAAATCTTCAAAGAGAAGGGAAAGAAGCTGCAAACACAAAACAACTGGATTTAGAGTGAATAGTGAGTGACTTTTCTTCTTTTGACAGACCAAAAATGATGCATTTTAGGTCATCAGTGCTTACTAGTGTCAGCTTACTAAAAAGAATAAAAACTGTATATTCAGTACCTAACTTTTTGGTGAGAAGGCTTTGTTTCTCTTCATTAGAATAAAACAGAAGACCAGATTAGAAGTAATTTCAAATCAACAAATGGCCCAGCACACCTACTCTTTTTTGATTTGTCTGGCTTTCTCCTTCACCATACTTCTCTTTTCAAAATTGTAAGGCTACTCTAGACATTTATTGATTAAAATCCTTTTTCAACCTGGTTACATTGTATCTCATGAGATCAACCTCCACCAAGGTGTGATTCTCCTGACAACTACTTTTCAAGATTTAAAACAATGGCTATATAGACATTTGACTGCCTTAACATCCAGACCCGAACTCCACTGCATGAGCCGGCATCCTCAGAGAAGGAGGGAACAGAAAGACCCTCTTAGGGATTCTACTTGTACAAATAGCAGCCCCTTTCTCCTCCCCAGCCCCCCCGAAGGACACCTTGGGAGCTGGGAAGAAAGATGCTGTGTGTGACTGCCGTTGCGTGGAGCACTTTTAGAAAGAACCCCAACAATACGGATTTTGAGGGTGGTGCATGGCTGGCATGGTCAGACCGAAGCAGGGAGGGGCAGCAGACAGTTACCATAGCTATTGCAGAGAAGAGTTGGGACAGGTTCTTTCCTTTCAGTGACTCCTGGCCAGCTGCCAGGAACTGCCTGCTTCCCCTCTGGCTGCAGCTGAAACTCCTTTCCCTCATTTCTGATGGTGTAGATCTGAGATGAGCTAGACTTGGAACTCTCCCTGATGTACATCTAATCTCCTGTTATTCTGTAAACTACCTAGCCTTACAGCCATGGACAACTGATCCCCAATTTATGCAAGTCTCCATCTAATTCCATATTAATTGTCTATATTCAAGTAGCTCCTGCAATGTGCCAAACCCTGTCCACCCACGGAAAGATATAATCACTAAAATGAAGAGCCTACAGGTGGGTATACGAGTTACATACCAAGGGGATTGGGATAAAACACCATGGTATAAAAATAACTATTCAACACTGCTCCTATTTATTGGTTCCCAAACCCCTCCTCTTCTTCATATATGCTCTCCACGTATTTTAACGTTTTATACAATGATTTCTTCTGCCTTTTGTCTATTATGGAGATGTCCTCCATGATCTGAAGGGTTTTTGTTGTTATTTTTTCTTTGCTCTGCTATTTGATTGTTTTCACAGCTTTCCCAACCTCCTCCAGTAAACACTAGTGGTTTCCCAAAATACCTAAATTTGCATTAAATGATACATTGTCAATGTTTACAACAATTAGTTTTTCAAACAAGCAGTATAAATTCTAAAACTTGGCAATCCTATTCTGGGATTCTGTTTTACAACAACTCGAATGTCAGAAAGACTAAAAATGCACTAGCTACTGAATGCCAAAAATGGTAGTTCCCAGCCTACAAAGCATTGTAGTGTTGAATAAACTGGGTAATCAGCAAGCACAGCTAAGACATTCTGGAGTCTACTGCATAATTTAATTTCTGTGTGTGCAGAATGAAACTGAATTATAACTGTCACCTCTGAACTGCACATAATGCCATTGCCTCCCCCCTTGCAAGCACAGAGCCAGCCACTCACTTCTCTCCCAACAAGAAGGGCCACCCATTCTCATCTGCCATCTTTCCACCAACATGCCCCAGCTGGGCTGCCCAAAGCATATGATCTATGCCCAGTCAAAAGCCACTGGAAATCATAACATCTGAAATCAACATGGTCATGCCTCCATTTTGCTGACATCTTACATGAATCACACAAAAAAACAGAAGCATGAAAACTTCAGAAAGTCATTTTAAATTCACAACCTTGATATGGTCTAACTTATAGGTTATCAGTTCAACAAGGAGTCTAAAGACTAGTAGCCTTCACAACAGCAGCCTGAGTAATTTGAATACTGCGGTGCTTCAGGAGTACCAGGACATTTAATAAAATCTCTCTCTCTTTGGAATCAATCTGAAGATTTTTTTTTTAAATGTTTCCAAATTAAAAGCGATTTTCCCAAAACAGCTGAGTTCTCCCAAAGCACAACTCAAGCAGCTGAGGACAAGATTGTTACAAGCTTTAGGATCCTGTGAGATCCTAATGCCTAAACCCTAGGCCTTCTCCCATTGAAATACAGGGCAATACCTGGCAAATACCAGGCTTTGAAGACAGCAGGATTGGGTACCCTAGACTAAATTCTTCAGGGCAGGGAGAATATTTTCTTATATCTACGAAGCACTATGTAAGCCAATAGTACTAAATTAATAATTCTATATGTTAAATGCAAAATCACTTAGATTTACCTTAGCACCTAAGGTTGAGAATTTAAATAACCTGAAGTAGTAAATAAAGTTAAAGGTTCCTACATCACCATACAATTGCATCTCTTAGCAGTAAAGGGGAAAGAGTGACTGCAAAGTTTCAATATACACATGTGAAGTATTTACTTGAATCTTCCTTTTGAATATCCAATTTCTCTATTTGATTTTGTGTTTCAGGGAAGATATCTTCCTCCCATCTTGTTCACCATATATTAAAGGCCTCAGAGGGTATGTCTACACCAGCAGTTCTCAAACTGTGGGTCAGGACCCCAAAGCAGGTTGTGACCCTGTTTTAATGGGGTCGCCAAGGGCTGGTAATAGCCTTGCTGGAGCCCAGGACCGAAGCCTGAGTCCCACTGCCTGAGGCTGAAGCCCGAGGGCTTCAGCACTGAGTGTGTGTGCAGGGGAGGGGGCCTCAGGTTACAGCCCCCCCGCTTAAGGCTGAAGCCCTTGGGATTCGGCTTTGCCCCTCCTCCTCTCCCCCAAGAATGATGACGCTCTGGCTTTGGCCCTGGCCCCCCTGCCCAGGGCGGCAGGGTTCAGACAGGCTCAGGCGAGCTCAGGATTCAGTCTTCCCTCCTGGGGTCACGTAGCAATTTTTGTTGTCAGAAGGGGGTCACGATGCAGTGAAGTTTGAGAACCCCTGGTCTACACTGTAATCAAAGACCTGCGGCATGGCCATAGCTGGCTTGGGTCCGCTATCTCAGGCTTGTGGGGCTCAGGTGGCTGGGCTACACAACTGCAGTGTAGATGAGCTGTCTCAGGCTAAAGTCCATGCTCTGAGACCCTACATGGTGAGGAGTTTTAGAGCCCAGGCTCCAGCACAGGCAGATACACTGAAGTTTTACAGCCCTATAGCCAGATCTCTGTGAGTCCAAGTCAGCTGACCTGGGTTTTGAGACTCAGTGCCATGGGTGTTTTATTGCAATGCAGACGTACCCTTAGGGAGATAAATTCTGAACACCATAGGCTAAGGAAACATCTCTATGTCTTGCCTTGTAGACCCAGCAAGTGTGTTCTCTGCAGTGGAGCAATGCTTATAATATTACCTTCTGAGATCGTCCAAACTACTTCATCTGCAGTCCTCAGAAAAACAGGGGTCTTGCTGGGGTTTGTATCTCTTTTCTGTGTAATTGCTTACAGAGAGACTTATTGGTCAGACGTAGTCTGGATAAGAATTTTCAGCCATGCCCTTTTCCGCAGAAAGGCGTGTTAACTTTTCCCAGTAATGCAGTTTGTATAAGCACTACTCTTATTTACTACCTCTGATCAACAACATGCCTTGGTTACCATGCAGCCCTATCAGGCCCTCTTAGCGGCACTCTGAGAAAGGCTATCATCACTTGCAGCTTGTTCAAGCAATCCTGAGTACTATTTATTTATTTATTTATTTATTTAGAGAGGCTGGCAACGTGTACTCCCCGAGGGAAGTGCTGAACCTACCAGCAGTAGAGTCCATTCTTCTCCATTGCCTTCCCCAGCCAGAAAGGGATATGGACAGAGCTGCTGAAAATTATTTGTCAAAACTGTTTTGATGGAAAATTGGGTCTTTGACTAAATGAAATTTTTCACGAGATGTCTTTCGGTTTTTGGCTGGGAAAACATTCAGTTTTTCAATGAAAAGTCAAAATTTTCCACAGAAAACAAAAAATGTTTTCTGATGAGCTTTAGAGAGGGATACAAAAAGGACCCAACACCTCCAGTATCTCAGCAAACATTTCTGGCCTAAACTCAAATCAGAGAAGACTGTTTTTGTTCACTCCAGATCTTATCTTGCATCCAGAGAAGCAAACAAACAACTCAGCTCAGATCCTTTTGATGCATAAAAGTAATAAAAATTTCCTCACAATGGAAGGGGCATTAATCCACCTGAGCAAAGGCAGCTTGGATTAACTAAATTGGTGACAACTGCAAGCAAATTCGTTGACTGAGATTTTGTGGATGCTAAGGTCAAGACCAAAATAGTTCAGTGGTTTAAGCATTGGCCTGCTAGACCCAGGGTTGTGACTTCAATCCTTGAGGGGGCCACTTAGGGATCTGGGGCACAATCAGTACTTGGTCCTGCTAGTGAAGGCAGGGAGCTGGGCTTGATGACCTTTCAAGGTCCCTTCCAGTTCTAGGAGATAGGATATCTCCATTAATTAATTTAAAATTCTTGAATCCTGCACAGCCACCACATCACAGTTTTTTTTAAAACCAACAGAGCCATCATGAGATTCTTGCCAAGAGTGCTTTAGCTATCTTCCCTCATACTTCATCCATTATGGGTCATCTGTAAATAAACATGACTTATATGAAGACAAAGCCAGTAGACAGGGCATGGCTGACGTGGAGCAGCTATGTAATAATTTTATGAATGCTGCACATGACCTAGCTATTGAGATGGAGAGTAGCACTACATTGGTTTAGTGCAGGGGTTCTCAAACTTCATTGCACCGTGACCGCCTTCTGACAACAAAAATTACTACACAACCCCAGGAGGGGGGACCAACGTCCAAGTGCCCCTGAGCCCCACCCCCCAGGTGGGGAGGCCAAAGCCCAAGCCCCACTGCCCTGGGCGGGGTAGAT